CCCCAAAACCCCAAAACCCCAAAACCCCATCAATATTAAAGCATTAGAAAATTTAAGAATTACAGTGTTTAAAAAATAATAATAATAATCAATTAAGTTTAGTTAGAGATCATGGATAACTTAGCATATTAGCAACTGTAGAATTAAAGTAGAAATGTTGCGAACTAGCACTAGCTCAATTAGAGTTATGGAATAATTATGAATCAATCTAGCATGTTCGATTAATTAGATACTCAAACATCCTAGAGATAGGTAAGCTAAATCTAGTGTAAACTTTTCAAATTTATAATTCATAGATCGATCCCATTAAGCAGTCCTTTATTTCGAGAAACGCTAAGTCATTTGATAAGCATCACAAGTAAAATAATAGAACCTTTGTTGAATAGTCAAACTAAATAAACAAAATTACTGCTCATCAGATAGTTCACAAGACTAATGACTTTCATACAGGAAATTTGATCACAAAGTAAACTGCACTCTAAAGAATGCTTGAAAATTAAAGAGATTAGAACAAGAGGCATTAAACTCCTGATTAATATTCTAATTGAAAATAAATCTAAAATCCAATTTAAAGTGCTATTCAGGTTTAGAAGACTGACTCTAGGAATGCCTATGACATTATGAGAGTTTATAACAGTGAGATTTAAACTTAGCCTTTCGAAGTGAAGAGGAAGCAACAAACTTTAACTTCACCCATAAGCATTCAAAATAGGCCAAATACTGCTTAAAAATTATCAAATATCAATAACTAACAAATAAGACCAGTTATTGACAATAGTTATCAGTAATAAGTAGTTCCTTTCAACCAATTCAATACTCTTAGTCAGGATTCAAAGCAAAACTCTAAAATTTAGCTAGGGAATTTCATAATTAAGCCTGAGAATCAGATTAGTGTTTATAAGCAGCAACAGAGTTAAAAGGAATAAAACCAAGGCTATTAAATTATGAGTGTAAATTAGATGTTAGGAAAGCAGCTTTAATTTGCATCCTTTGTAACTTAATAACTCTAGGCAACAGAGGATAGGTTCGGGCCTAGATTCGAAGACAACAGCTCTTCAGGCAATAACATGAAATCAAATGCAAATAAGAAAGCCACAGAGAGTTTCTGGGTCAGATATATAACTAAAGTCTAAATCTTAAAAGAGGTAAGATGGGATCTTTTTGAAGAAGGTCTTTGTGAATACATTAAGACATTCCTCGTTATGAATGCCTAGATAATCAAAAGAATTAATTGGCCAAACTTTCTGTAAAAATTAAAGTCTCTAATTTGTGATGATCAATCAACTGGGGAGTTTGAAAATGCTGACATTGTGCATAGACCATTGGAAGAAGTAGTTGAATCTTATACTGGCCCAGTAGTCAGCTTTGTGAAAATAATTCAATTTAGTTAGGAGATTTCATTAGATGGCAAAATCATGCAATTGATTGAAGAAACTTAGAATAAGGATGATCCTGTTACAGATTTCAGATATTAATCTGAGATAAGTTCACCCAAATCCAGTGTGATGAAACAAAAACAATTCAAAGACTCTTATAACGTTGAGTAAGAATTAAAATAAGGAACTATTCGCTATTAGTGTGGTAGTTCATACAGGGGAGACCTGTTTAAAAGTAGAAAGCATGGCTAAGGATTACTTATGCTCAGTAATGGTGATTAATATGAAGGATAATTTAAATCAGGTTAAAGAAACGGATATGGAGTCTATATATGGGGTCCTGATAACAGATGTGCCTACAAGGGTGACTGGGTTGAAGATATAAGAGAAGGATATGGAGAAATTTAATGGGATGATGGGTCAAGATTTTAAGGATAGTGGATTAAGGGTAGATTTCAATCAGGAATTTATGTCTGGCCTGATGGCTCTGAATATTCCGGAGAATTTAATATTATAACTTCAGATTTGGAGGGTCAAGGTATACTGACATTAGAAAATGAAGTGGTTAGTGGATTTTGGAAAAACTCTAAACTCAATGGCTATGGAATGAGAAAATCGGCTAATGGTGAAGTTTATAAAGGCACATGGGTGAATGGAAAATTGGAGAACGAAGGAGAATATGAAAATTAGAGCGGAAAATTTGTTGGAAAATTTATCAAGAACAAGGAAAATGGCTTTGGTACTAAAATATTTGCAGATGGTTCTACATATAGTGGGGATTGGAAAGATGGACTATAAAATGGAAAGGGAGAGTTAAAATCAGCTAATGGAGATAGTTATTTTGGAGACTTTGTTAATGGATTCAAGAATGGAAGGGGGACTTTAAAGTATAAAAATGGAAACGTATATGAAGGTGATTGGAAAAATGACATGTAAGATGGCATTGGTAAATTTACACTACCCAACAATAATAAAGCGAGTCCTTTTAAGAATGAGTATATTGGCGGCTTCAAGAACAATCTTTTTGATGGAAAGGGTAAAATTACAAATGAATTAGGGGTGATTTACGAAGGAGATTGGATTCAGTAAAAGAAGCAAGGCTTTGGAAAACTAATAGTACCTCGAGATGGTTAAAATCTTTTCTCTAAGAATCTCATGTAGTAAGTATATGTCGGAGAATTCTTTAATGACAAGATTCATGGCTATGGTAAGATGATATTTGAAGACGGTTCAACATATGAGGGCGAGTGGATAAATGGAATGAAATAAGGCAAAGGAATCGAGAAAAGTAATCAAGCATCTACTAATGCCAAAATTTACAAGGGACTATTTGAGAATAATAAAAGAGTAGGTCCTGATTGGATCACTCTAAATGAACAGCATAAAAATAATAGCAATAACTTTACAACCGTGCATAAGGTTATTAATAATTATTGATTTCATGAATTCTATTTTTTTCATGTTCTGGGGTTTTGGGGTTTTGGGGTTTTGGGG